TATATATATATATATATATATATATATATATATAAAAAAAAAAAAAGAAAAAAAAGATGATACAAGACTATAGTGAAAAATGCATGGTTCATAGAACGTATTGATAAAAGTTAAACTCGCACGTGTCAACTGGGGGGGGGGGAAGGGAAGATGAGAATGAGAGAGAAAGACGAGTTCCTTCTCCCCTTCTCCCTCCTCCTCTCTCTCTCTCTCTCTCACTCTATCTTTCTTTACGATCGTGTCAATGTAAAAGAACAATGCTTATGTAACATGCGAGAGCTGGTAATTATATCGGTGCTCACGTTCGTTCACGTGTGTCTTTTTTACTCTTTCTATTCTATGCACATCCGCATCGAACTACACTGTTGCACATAGCATAAGACTAGTCAGAGAATACCATTCATTCCGAGAGCATACGCACACTAATACACACAAACACACACGTAAAGCGTGAATAAATACAAACGCGTGTACGCACGCGTGTTGCTTGTAATATTTAAAACGAGTATTCGTATTTTTTCTTGTTCTTTTTTCTTTTTTTTTTTTTTTTAAGAGAGAGAAATTTAATTAATAAATTAAATCGACGTTTCAACGAGATAACATTGAAAAAAAGGAGGGGGTACGGGAGATGGGTGGAAAAGGGTGGAAATTATTTGATCATTAGCATGGCGTTTAATACCTGTTGAAATATCTAAAGATACGTTAATTGATTCGAATAAAGCAAAAGATACGTCCAAGTTCTATCTTTAAGTGTGCATATGTATAAACACTACTATCTTTTATTATTATTATTATTATTATTATTATTATTATTATTAGTATTGATTTTTGTATTTTCTTTTGGAACGTTTAACCCAACGCTTTTAAAGTACTATTACATATGTATAACCAACTCCAAGGTTAATCGTCATCTTACGGTCTTAAGTTATTTCTTTCTAGACGTTGGAGGATCGCTATGAAGATTATGCTACCAGCTCGTTTATGCTCGTGACTAATTAGGTGGGCTTGGTCGTTTCTCTTAAGCTTATTCGAACGTTTCGTCAGATTTATCATCGCAATTTTGTTCCTTTCATTTGTTATTTAATTTTTAAAGAAAATAAATCTCTCTTGTTTAACAGAAAAAATTGTTAACAAACGATAAACCTCGAATATAGCAATTAATTATTATTATTATTATTATTAATACTAATCGTATTAAGGAACGAACCAAAGAGATTATAGAACAGTGCCGTTTAATGATCCGTATACCAAATTGATACCAAAAGAATATAGTGAACAAATTTATGTGAGTGGGTGAGATGGTGTCGAAGAAATTAAACGTGCTTTGAAAGAAAAAAAAAAAAGATAAAGATAAAGGAAATAAGTAAAATTAAACCAAAAGCAGAAAAAAAAACACGCATACACACACAATTCAAACAAGCAAATAAAAAAGATATGGAAAATGTATGACTGTTGATATTGTTTAAAAGGAAAAAGGAAAAGTGTTGTTGTTGTTGTTTTTGTTGTTGAATTTGCGAGAGGGTGTGCGTGTGTCTGTGTGTATGTGTTTTTAAGTGAGAGAGCGTGCAAAGAAACGTGTTGGGAGAGAAGAAGCATCAAGATGATGAAAAAGGAGAAACCTATGATGTCCGTGACGGCCATTATCCAGGGAACGCAAGCTCAACATTGGGCTCGTGGTAATACCTGTACGTACAATTATATTACAATAGTTTCTTTCTTTCTTTCTTTCTTTTTGTCTTCTTTTTTTTTGTCTTTTAAATAGTCTAAGAGCTAGAAAACAATATATATTAGATTGTTCGAAAAGTAATTTCGGCGTTTTTTTTTTCCAATGGCAAATAAAATCGTAGATTTTCTCATAGTTAAAATCCAAAAAGTGTTTTAAAATGATCGTGATGAATTATAAAATTTGTTAAAATACAACTTCATTTATATTTATTTATATATAAATTATTTATATATAATTTATTTATATATAAATATATATTCATATTATTTTTATATTTATACGATTAATAAGAATCTATTAAAAATTATCAGAAAGAAATTTCACATAAAAATACATTTTAACACTGGCGTTCATTTAAAAAGGCTCATTATTTTTCTTCTCACTTGTACCGTATTATTACATTCACGATAATAAAAAAAAAAAAAGCAAAATAATAAATAGAATGGTGACTTAGATATTTCGTTTTTGATGCGATGCCAAAGAAAAAGAAAACTCTACTTGACGTATCAAAACGCAACGAGGTTTTTTAAATCACGTTTGAAATGTCTGTTATTAGAATGTAAAATGATTTTGTAGTTTAAAGTAAATTTGGGTATCGTTAAACGCGATTAGTAACGAAAATTTGATGCAATATAAACGAAATTTCCTTTCGAAACAATCTAATAAATATGTTTTGTATTGGTTAAACAAAGAAAAGTTTCGTGCCGATTTGAAGTTTATTTGATCGTTTATCTCTGTTTATTAAAAACCCACACGAACTTTTCTTGATTGTTTGATATTATTTTAAGAAGAATATATTACATATTATTATTACGTCAGATAATCGAGAAAGTTCGTGACGTTTTAATCAATAAAGATAAATAATGATATAGAAGCACCTAGAAACGACACGAATTTTCTTGATTATATTTAAATACATAATTTAAATATCTTATTTGAGTAACAAGTAATTTGGAGAGAAATATTCAATATTTGATAACATATTAAATAATATTAATATAATAAATAAACATAACACACACTAATTAAACACGCGATATTTTGTTTGAATTTCAAAATTAAACAATATTAACAATTATATTTTATGATATAATATGATTATTTTTAATATTTAAAATATAAATAGAGAATTATTACTTAAAATATTTTCTTTTCTACAAATGATGAAATGTTAAAATTTCAAAGTAACACGTTTGTTCGTAGAAAACATTGGTACCAATTCGCGAGTATTAGTTTGAGATAATAAATAAATACTACACCTCGAAGGTGAACTCGAATAGCGAATACTCGCAAATAATAATAATTAACACCTTTTTTAATACGAGACAAACGATTAGCGGAATTCCCAAGGCTTTTCTCATAGTACTTGTTTCTCACCTCGTTTAGTTAACTCATGCTTATCTACATATATCCAATGTTTATGTATGTATATACATACAGGGTGTTCAAAATTTATACGAATTTCTTTCATCTATTTAATCTGAATAAATACGTAGTATAAGTTTGGTCCCAACCTTTTGAGACACACTGTATATGTACAACAGTAAAGAAAAAAAAAACCAAAAAGAAAAGAAAAGAAAAGAAAAAAAAACATGAAAAGCACGAGAGAAGAAAATAATATTTCCATGCTAATGACTTCCTGGTAGATTACTAATAATAAGAAAGATTTTTATGAATACATAAGTAGATGAAATCATGAGTTCAATCATTCTAATCATCCTTTCTTCTATCCTTTTAATTTAATGAGAAAATCGAAAGGTTTTTAATTCTATTTATTGTGTTAGAGGTAATATTACAAACGTGTACTTATTTGTCTTCTTTATACGATGACACCTCGTTTCAAAATGACTCACCGAATTGTTTCTGCGGGTCTACTGATAACGGACAACGTGTTTGTTTATTTACAGGGCAAAGCACTTTAATGTCTAGGTGTATATATATATATATATTATATTATGTATATATGTATATGCAATAACTTCGGAATTATTCTTTGCACGAAATATTGCACTCGAGTTTATAATGTTTCTTTTTATGATGATTACTCAATTATATGTTACTCAATAAATTTCATTTAATAAATAAATCGTTCGATAATATATTTTTGTATATACAATTGCAAAATTATTTCAAAAGGTACACGCGAAATAAATTACTTATTAAATATTAAAATAATTTGTATTAAATATGAAATATATATATGATGAAATAAATTATTTTAATTATGTCGTTCAATTTGATACATTCTCGTATTTTTTAACACACGTATATATATGTTTATACGTCTACGTATTTGTATCATATATGAAAATCAATTATTTAAGCACGAAACAATATAATTTGTGAATAATAGTTAGAATACTATTTTTCTATTTAATTGAAGTTTTCTTTTTATCGTTAATGCGAACTTTAAAAATAGCAGGAACAATAACAGTAACTGCAACAGAGTGGCTTTAATAAAAAAAACAAAAAAGTATTACTCTTTTTCATTCTTAGACGAATACTTGGTTGCGTTGGTAAAACCAAGGTCACGCTAATGCGCCTCCTTATCTGCACCCAAGCAAGCTACGATTTATGAGCCTTTTCGTGCCTTATCTCGCACCTATATTGCTTTACAACACGCGCGTCAACTCCGTGACTCTTTCTGCGATGGTAAAGTTACTTACTCGATTTTTTTTTTTTTTTTTTTTTTTTTTTTTTTTTTTTTCTTTTTTTGTACTTCTTACTTTTTTCTACTTCTCTGTTTTCTTTCTCTTCCTCCATTATTTGCGCGATTTGTAATATTCTAATGTTGTGTAAGAAATTTCAGAGCTTAATTAAAAATCTTTTAAACGAATCTAATCAAGTAAAGTGTTATAAAAACAAAAAATCATTACTATGGTTACGGTTATTAAGTAAAAGATTTTGTTATATATACTAACAAGTGTGTATACATTATTTTGTATTATATTTGTATAGAATTAATTAAATAGTATTTACGGTAAGAGAGAGAGAGATAATGATAGATATTGAAATTTTATATTAAATGATATATTATTTCTATCTCTCTCACTTTATATGAAAATAATTAACAAACATACTTAGTAGTACAGTGTAATATATTATAAATTTTATATAAATTCTGTTGAATGTATTTTTGTAAAGAGAATTTACAAAACGATATTCATAGATCGAATTATATTTTAATTTATGAAATAACACATCAATCCAATCTCTTAATTTCATAAAAAAAAAAAAAATTAAAAACAGCAATATAAAAATATATAAACGATCTTAAATCTAATTAATTCGATAAAACTGTCTAATAAATAAATTATATTACGCAAAAGTTTGCATTTATGTGTTAATATTACACTATAAAAAGAAAAATTAGAATTACTTTTGGTACACACGCGTGTTAAAGATCAAACATAAACGCATATCTTCTTCAGTATTAATAATAATAATAATAAAAATAATAAAAAATATAATTATGATCGTGAACGTTGTGTACTTATAATCGTTCGTGATAGTCGCGTGAAAGTTAAAGTTATCGCGTAACAATATCAAACGTGTAACAATCGATCATTCTCATTTGACGTTTATATATTTTTAACGGTTATTCATTGTCGTATATGTTATACGTATATGCTAGATACTACATGTTGTATGTCATGAAAGACTAAAGAAAGATGAATGTTCTTTCGCGTCATCTCGATCGTCAACGATAAACGATGTTGATCGCTTCGAAGAATAAACTTATCGATCCTTTTTACACACACACACACAGACCTTTAGTTAAATTACGTCTACATACTTACATCTTATAGAAGCACACCTTTAGGTAAATTACATCTGTGCATCGATCCATGTGACGATAGAGTAGTGACGTTTAGACGCTAGTGTCATTATCGTATCTCGTTTCCTTTTTATTCATAATAAAACTAGTTATAGGATTATATATTATGTGCTATTATACTTCACTATATATATATAGGTTTTTTTTTCTTTCATTATAATTTAATTATTATATATATTATTCTATTGTGTTGTGGTAGAGATATTGATAATTTAAAAATAATCTATATAATTTATTATACTGTAAAGTAGAATTATTCGTAAGAACAAAAAAATAAACATCATTTGATCAGTATCGATGTTTCAAAAAAAACATGACAATTAAAATCGATCGTATAGAAAATTAAGAAAAATAAATTCTATTACAATTTTTTGTGATGAATTTTTGATACATCGAAAATAATCTAAATGATCTCTATCACGCGTAAATAATATTATTTCAAAAGTAAGAAAAAAAGATTAAACATTATTCATTAATTCTCCCTGTTTCTCTATCATTTACTCTCCTTTATTCTTTCTACTTTATGTAACACCTTCTACGTCAATTATTATCACCTACGAATACGATTTACAATGAAAGAGAATAAAAGTGAGACAGAAAGAATTCATTTCTACATACGAAATGAGTGAGATAATGAATGCGATTCATCCTTTTTACAAATTGTTCTCTAGTAACACTATTCGTTTATATTAGTCTAGACTCTAGACCGTAATAGGTACACGCAACAAACCATAACACTTATATAGATACGTATACATACGTACAGAAACTGCACCACACCCACGTGGGAAAGAAACGATTCGCGTATCTGTTTGTACTCTTCTTCTTCTTCTTCTTCTTCTTTTATCTCTTTCTCTCTCTATTTTCCCACATACATACACACATGCATAAATATCTAACACTTATATTAGTATGCGTATATATATATATATATATATATATATGTGGGTGTGAGTGTGTTTATAAATACATATATATTTGGAAGTTGGTGTGTACTATGTCGGTGCTTCGACCAATGAAATCATTCGAGCTCAACCTTGGCACCAATGTGAACGAGCCGTGAAGTGTTTCACATATATACTTCTCTACATATATATTATATACATATGTTACTTGTTCAC